TAATATATAAAATTGTATTGATGCTTGACAGGTTGAATTGCATCCACATTACAGGCAAGAGGAGTTGATTAAGTATTGCGATGAGAAAGGGATTCATGTACAAGCATACTCTTCTTTAGGCACTAGCAAACGAATCAATCTTTTATCTGATCCGACTGTAATAAAAATCGCTTCTGAGCTTAATGTCTCACCGGCACGCGTATTATTAAAATGGGCGTTACAACAAAAAATCGGTATCATTCCGAAAGCTGTACAGAAGGAACATATAAGAGACAATGCACAGTTAGATTTTTCTATCAATGAAGAACATATGAATATGCTGTCTTCTCTACCTCAGCAGAAATATGTTTGGGATCCTTCCAATGTCTGCTAAATAAACTTGTAACACAGATAGTATATGTAAGGAACATGGAATTTTCTGATCGAGTGGCACAACTTTGTTTAGAAAAATATAAAAAACTTGGCAAAAATGGTAAACCGTCGGATAAAGAATGGACTGTGCTGTCGGGTATTGTTTTAAAAAAAGGAGATAATTCACTGTCTCTGGTAGCTCTCGCTACGGGAACGAAGTGCCTAGGAGAAGTAGATTTAATGAATACGAAATTGTATGAAGAAGGTTCTAGATTGAGTGATTCCCATGCGGAAGTTCTTGTGAGACGTGCCTTATTAAGGTATTTGTACGAGCAGATTCATTTATTGCTGAGCGGTGCTAGAAGCGATGTATTTATAATGATCGATAAAAAGATTCGATTAAATCCTGACGTATCATTTCATTTTTTTACGAGCCAAACTCCTTGCGGCGATTGTTCTATATTTTTGAAAGAAGACTTTTGCGAGCATCGTGCACCTCCGATAAAAATTAGAAAATGTGATTATGATAATGGGGAGATAGTAAAGTTGATTAGCGATAAGAAGGATATATATAGGACAGGTGCAAAATGTGTTAAAGCTGAGGAACACCAAGATCCTCATTTGCCTGGTGTAAATTACCACGTGCTCGGGCCATTACGTACTAAACCAGGAAGAGGGAATCCGACTCTTAGTTTATCTTGTTCGGATAAAATGGCAAAGTAAATAAAATTATAAGCACTTTCAAGTACGGATGTGACTCTACAGCTTTGCGCATTAATTTTAGATGGAATATCCTTGGCATGCAAGGCTCACTTTTATCAATACTGATCCCTCCAATAAAAATTGAAAGTGTCATAGTTGGAGGTGCTTCTCCCTTTTCTCTACAAGCGATGGAACGTGGATTATTTCAGCGGTTCAATAAGAGTATTTGTAAATTAAATATTGTACAAAGCAAGCTTTCTTTTAAACAGCAAAAGAATTCTGATAGGAAACACCCGTGCCCATCTAGTATAATATGGTGTGCTGTAAAAAATTGGTAATTTTCAATGTACGCTTTATTATTGTTTCTCTTTAGAAAGTAGAATTAAAACGATTTTTTTATAGCGATACTGAGATAGCCGTCGAGGGCAGAAAGCAAGGAGCTACGAAAAAAAAGAAAGCTAGTAATTTACTCGTAACGAGACGAGCTCTGTTCAAGACATTCTTGCAAATTTGCGACGAATACACAAATTTTGATTGTAATATAAGACATCCTAAGAAAATAACTTATTTAGATTGTAAAAGATGGTCTAAGGATTATCAGAGCTCATGGAGCGCATTGAAATCAGGA